GCCTACAACAGGTACATGAGCGAAGCGATCACCGTACACAACGTGCCAGTCAAGATTACGCGATCTTGTTCACTCCGTCCGGTAACGTTAATTTAAATATTTTAATTTACTAATAAAGAAAAATGTTTTTACAATAATTCAACTATTAAATGTTAATTCGTAGCATATCTCACATCTCACAAAGAAATAACATTCAAACTTGAAGAAAGTTATGTTTACTGCACTGAAACATCGAACAGGACCAAATTTTATAAAGACATTTTAAAATTTACCCATAGGACTGGCTAGGAATTTTTTGAGATGATGCGCTATGCTGAATATTTCCTCGTTAAGCCTACGCCATTTTTATTTGCCCACTCTTACGTTAAATATAAGCCAAAGAACGGTAGCTACCAGAATCGTTGCACTGCCGTTGTGCCTATGAACTGTATATAAATACGAAAGCTTTATTTGTACTGGCTATTAAAAATTTCTCTCCCATTTTCACTACTCGCCTCTTTTGATGATTGTTATTCTCCTACTCCTTTTCATTTTCCTTCTTTCATTGCAACGGCTAGGGTGCTCTCAGTTACCTCATCTCCTACAACTCATTAATCTTCTTTCTGTCAATTCTTTAACTCTTCTACTTCGTCTAATTCTCTTTATTTTCTCCTTCTTCTTCTCTTCCTCGATTCCATTCCATTTCAGCCTCTGTCTACACTTCGTTTACTTTCTCCTCCCTTTAATCTTACCATCATGTATGCTGGGCTTCTGCATCTCTTCCTTCTTATTCTTTTATTCTGCCTTTTCTCCTACTTCACCAAATTCGTCATTTTATGTTTACCTCATTTTTCTATCTCGCCTTCACGTTGTCGTTCTTTTTCCCATGTACTCATCGTTTCGGTTATTCTTTCAATCATGTCATTTACTTCCTGCTCATGCTTCACGTTCGTTTCCTCATTCTATTTTTGTTTGTTTATTTACTCTCTTAATTTTCTCATTCTCGTTTCCTTCAATTTCTATCCAAGATTTTGGGTTTCTAGTTTGCCCCTTATTTCCTATAGCTTTCGTCATCCTCTTTTCTTCTTTCTTTATCCATTCTTCTTCAACCCGTCTCTTCTACTCCTTTTTCTTGGGCCCATTTTCTGTTTTCCTTATCTTTCTCTCCTGACATTTCTCATCAGCTTTCTCCTTCTGCTTTTCTGCCTTCTACCAATTAAAAATCTTTCATCTGCTGCCGGCTTTTAGCTAAATTCTTCAGTACCTGTTCATTCCCTACCCGTTATCGATCATTGTTAGATTTTCTTGTCTGTATTTGTCTGTCCAAGAAGAATGCTGGGAATCTAATTTCAACCCCAACAGGGGGATTAGATATTGGACAGCAGTGAGGGAAGGCGTCGTCGAATACAGAAAGGACAAGCTGCGGCGGGCCAAATTCTATTCGTGTTTCTCGGCTCACCCAAGGGAGACCCTCAGTGATGATGCCTCCTGAATCAACTGGTGCCTTCGCGCGCGCACTTAGTCGCTCGGTCGGTTTGAAGATTATACCAGGAGCCGGGAAGGCCACTTTTGAATGGAGAAGACTCAAAATCGTAAAGAATGTTCCGAGTGTCCAGGCCAGCGCGATTTGTCCCCGATTACCGACAGGTCCAGGTGATTGGTCTGAAGCAACCAAATTACTATTTCATCCGATTTGCCAACGTACTTGACGAAGCTTGAAATAGTTTCCATTGTTCACATCGAAACCTGAAGGCCATTGACTCAAAGAACTGCTTTTATTGGCACTACAAATATCCTGAATGCATAAATAAAAGGATATTCTAGTAATTTCATTTGTATGTTCAGTCATTGTGCAGTGAAGATAAATTTACTGTTAACTTCTACTTAACTTCTACGGTTAAAAAGAATGTGTCAGCAGATGCTGCTTCACTGGTGCCGCGATGGAGGTATGAGAACATTGTTGGTTTTACCTCTTAAATGCTGAAAACAGCATATGCTGAGTTTAGCGTATGATACATCAGCCATCGTATCAACGGATTGATCACATGACGATCAGTTTAAAGCTGCCCGTTCTTTCCGGTGGACCGATTTTTTTGTTTATGGCATCAGATGACAAATATCATCTTTTATTCAGAGGAAAGAGGTATCAGTGCACAAATGTTGAAGATATTTGGCCGTCACAACACTGATAAGTTCATAGGCTTCCGGATATCATCTAACATGCATTTTCCGGGTTTTCTATCATTTTGCTAGTCACGACATCTTCAATTCAGAAGTCACAGGGTGACTTCGTGTCGAGAAAAATTTAATCAGTCCATCATTCTGAATTAATGCGTAAATGCTAAGTCTGTCTCCTTGAACTCCCAATCAAATTGTCATCCTCGAATCAAAAGCAAATAGAGATATGTCAACCTGACCTGACTATCATCGTGCCTTTTACATCATTTTACTGTTCTTTAAGGGCTTACACAGCGCAAGGAAATTCCTCCTCAATAGGTCGTTCTCCTGACTGTGATCCCTTGCTCTCATCATTGCCTGTCCTGGGACTGAATGTCGAATGGGGTGTTCATGAGGCAAAGAATTTAATCAGAACCAGAACTGATATTTAATTTCTATGTACGAACTGTTTTTTTACATGATGAATTCAACTGTTCGTTGCTCTTTCAATTCATTCTGCATATCATAAATAAATTTTGATGACAATAATTGTCACTGTAGTTTTCTGTCGTGAATTAAAATTATATTCGTAACGTTGCAAACACAAAAAGAAAATGCAATTCATGCAAATTTATTCTCGTGATTTTAAAGTTATGTTGTAAAAAAATTTGATCTTTCAAGGATGTGCTAGTAACTGAACTCGGTAGGGCCGGTGGCCTGCGAAAACTGAGCAACGCGATCATAATGAAGGTGAACAGTCCGATGAACCGCAAGGACATCTTCTACCGAAGTTCGTCAACCCTGCTGAAACGGCAAATGTCGGTTCAGGCGTTAGAGGCGATTGTCGAGGAGCTGACCGAAGAGGAACCGGAGCCGATCGTTTTCACCAGCACCGTATGGAACGTACTGAATCCGTTCAAAATGGCGTTGACGAATTTGCTGGACGTCAAACTGGTGTGCAGTCCTACGTACCTGGCGTGGGCCATTCAAGGAATGCTCTTCTGCTTCGTGTCGATGGTGCCCTTCATCTACCTGCCGCAGAGGGCGGTTCTACAAGGCCATTCGGAACAGTACGCCACGCTGCTCGTCTCGTGTATCGGTGCCGTAAACATCGTCTGTCGAATCCTGTGCGGCTGGGTCTCGGACATGCCCAGTGTCAACCCGGTGAACCTGCAAAACCGTGCGATTCTCATAGCGGCGACGGCGACCTTGCTCGTTCCCCTCCTACATTCCTATTGGCTGTTGATTGTGTACTGTGTCTTCTTTGCATTTGGCCTTGGTAAGCAAATGACTTGCACCGCAAATGATCGTCATCGTCGCATTCCGAACATAAATCATCACCATTTGTTGAGGGTCTGGCGGGGGACGGTGCGCATAATCTGATTTTCTTGGAGCTGTTCTCATTGGAAGTGTGAAGTAGATTTCTTACACGTTTATACCTGTAGCCCTGTTCTTTCCTAGAGTTCGCTTCACATTCTTACCGGTATTTCTCATTGCAATTACTCAGCTTCAGCATCTGGCTTCCTTTTGCCCATGTGCAAAATCTTTCAGGCAGATCTCGTGATCTCGTGTCAACAGCTACGTCAAGTTTCTGAGATAGTTATATGCCACCTGCTGATTTTCATATGTAATCCTGTTTTACAGCCGATCTAAAAGTCACATTACCGTTCTCATTATTTTCGTGCATTGAACTCGTCCATAACTCGATTTAATACTCTAATATGCAATTCCGTCGGTCCCTACAGGTCTTTGACTGGCTTTGAATTAAACTTTTCAAAAAATAAGCAATAACAATAATAAGAAATATGCAAAATTGTGTTAATGTCTCGCATAACTCCGCTACACTGCCTCCCCTGCCACCGATCTGGTTCAACCTTAATTTTCCACAACTGAATTGGCTGATCGTCTACTGGCATCGTCGGTTTCAATTGCTATTGCTACTACATGTTTAAATTACACTATTGATTGAAGGGATAGCGTTACTCATTACCTTAACATTTCTTGTGCTGTTTGGCCTTGATTCGGCAGACTGTTTTCTAAACATTCACTCGCATGAGCATCATCAGCTGTTTCGCACGACCAAGCATGTCTAATGACGAATGGCTCTCCAAGACCAGGTTTCACGGCGTATTGAACCGCCCCCTTGCCCCTAGTTGTCTATTGGAGCTATTTAAGCAGGTGACGGCTCTACGGTAAATAATAATGCGAGGCTCATGGTTCCCTAAGCAACTAAGAGCAAAGGGGCGGTGCAATGCGCCGTGAAATTCAATCTTGGAACAGTCATCCGTTATTTGAGACGACCAGCATATGATGTTTATGCGTAAATAGAGAGTCCAAACTTCTAGCGAGGAAGCTATGAGGACGAGGTAGCTCTAACCGACAGAATGACGCGAGATGCATCTGGCATTGCAGGTGCTCAAATACCATGGAACAGCTGCCTGCCTGAATGCTGCCCCCTCCCCCACCTAAGGCCACTAGAAGCACGGAGGCAGCGCAGTATGCCATGCTGCCATATTCCCTCATATATTAATTTTACTTTTAGCATTATCATCACCATCGCCACCATCATCCTCAACAGTTACCATAGTCGTCGTCCACATTATCGCGATCGTCGTTCTCCTCCTCCACCCTCCTCGTCATTTTCATTATCATTGTGGTCGTAATTATTATCATAATCATAAGAATCGTCAGCGTCATCAATGCTTCTAGTGGAATTCAATGCCGACAGTGACTTTCAGTCATTTCGCTACTTCTATATTCCTTTTCACGAATCAACTAAGGCAGTATCTGAGTCGACTGCAGCAGCTACCACTCCGAAAATTTTCTACCTCTTCAGTGTAAAATTTCTAGTGCATTTACCGAAAGGGGGCTACTCACGTCAAGACTTTTTCTCCTCAGTTTCTCCAACAAAACTCTGTCGTTTGTCTCCATTGAACTTTCACAAATACTTTGTCTCTTTTACAGATGATCTCACTTAGCCCATTATAAACTACAGGTTCAGCTCGATTGTGAAATGGCACTGCAATTCGCGTTTGCCAATCTTCAGATCACTTATGCTGTTCTAAAACTTGTACATTCTTCAAAGGTAAATGCAAAGTGTTTCCTATTATCCCTCGTCTTTCCGTTCGGATTTCTAACCAAAGTAGTTCCATCGTCAAATTTGATTTAAACCATAAGAAGTTCTGCCCTTCCTCTGTTGAAACCACTAAGTTAACAGACCGTTCTGAAGTTTATGACATGCCTCTGAGGCTGCTAAGAAGCTAGAGAAAGCAATGCTTATCCGTCTTGCTTCGCTTTGGCATGTGATCATTGTTTCAGTCTTCATTTTTTCTTCATGACGTACCATTCGACTGCTGATTTACAGGCAACGCTAATTCAGGCACTGAACCCTGGTTCGTTTCAGAAAAAATGACTGATTCAAATCCTGTGAACTCATTCTTTAAATCTTCATGCAAGAGAGGGAGTTTCAACTTGAATAACTAACATAATTTGAAAAAGTGCTGACCTTAACTGTTTTTCAGCTTTTTTTCAGTGCCAAAATTTTTCATCTGTATTGCGATGATACTAAAGATCAATCGTTTTATCTTTTAGCATGTTTTGCTGTTTTGCGTAGCATTACAGCCGTTCAGCTGTTTGGATTAGCAAAATTGACGAATGCTGTTGGTCTCTCCATGGTTTTGTTTGGCATCGCAGGCTTGTTTGGACCTCCGTTTGCAGGTACGTTTCCTCCACTTTAGTCCAGTCCTTATGGTTTCTCCGAATGCCATCCAAGGTTGCTTGGCGCAAATCTTTCTACAGCATTTTTCTACCGCTCTTCTACCTCAGTCATAAATTGTTTAACTCTATGGCGCCACAGAATGCTAAGCTATGGGACACCAGAGGATCAGACGTCATTAGCGTGCCGCTGAGATGCTACACTTAAAGTTGATCTATCCGTTAAACTGTCATATTCAGGAACAGTGGACTAAAATAAAGATTGAAATGAGGTTGCTTAACCGACAACCTGTTATTTCAAAGCTACTTAATCCGAATAGCTTCGAACTAGCAGTTCAATATGATGGGTTGGATTTTGGGTCTTGGCTCGATGACTCACCTTTCATCCGTCAAAGGACGGTACATGAAACAGTACCACTGTGCGGAAAGAAATCCTTATCCTCTATTAACTATCCACGTGTATATGCTGCTTTCTACAACAGTAGGACATCTCTGTCTGATGGTATTGCAATAAATAACCAGTGCTATGCCTAAATAAAACTAGTTTCGACCATCAGTCATTCATATTACCATGACTTGGCTTAACGTCAATCGCATGATCTCTACAAAATAACGCATAACTCCCTCAAGACCGGATTTCAAATCGTATTTCATTGCCCCTTTGCCTCTAGTTTCTCTGTTACCGTATTTAAGCAGGCAACGCCCCATCAGATTTCAGCTCCTCTATTACCATATGCATCTCGCATCATATTGTTCGCAAAAGCCACCTCACAATCACCACGATCGATCCTCCATTAGCTGGTACTCCATAGATGCCAGAATATGTTCGTACACCAGAATCCAGAGTATGTTGAATAGCGGGGGAGGGGAGGGGATGTGGAGGGGTAGGGAGGCGCAATATGCTGAAAAACTTTATCTTGAAGAGTTGTGCCTTATTTGACGTACGAACAAATTCTGATGTTTATTTGATAGCATGAAAAGAGTACAGCTCCTGAAACATTGTTCTTAATGACGAAGGCCTGGTTCTGATGAACAAACGACGCGACATGCATACGGCATTGAGGTGTTCAACTGTCAATCAGCCGTCGCCTACTCAAGTGGTCCCTTGGCAAGAGGGTGGTGCAGTGCTTGGCGAAATCTGCGATTTGGATGAGTTATGCGTCATGTGACATATTTCGGCGTACGAGCAGACTTTGAAATCTCTACTGCATCTGTCATAATGCTTCAGTTGCACTGCAAATTCCCAAATAATCGCCCTATTCAACTTCATCGCTTCTGCTCTTAATGGCGACACGGTATTTAGGTTACCTTTTCGACATCAGCGGCAGCTTCGATTTAAGCTTTTATATGGCTGGAACTGTGATGGCGTTGTCGGCGTTTCTCGGCATGACGATACAATGGATTAAAAACGCCGAATCAAAGAGAAGGAGGAGAAAGAAATAAGTGACAACCGATGCGTTTGACGGCTGACGCTTCATTTGCTTAAGAAATTCCTCATTCGTGCTGTCGATAATATTGTCATTTGAATACTAGTAAAATTTTAATACCATATTGCTGTACCCACCGGAATACCGAAAATTGTAATTGCTCGTAAGTACTTTTGCAAGGGCTTCCTGTAGAGTCTAATAATTTCATGTAGACATGTGCCAATTGTACTGTTCCAGCGCTCATATTTTGTCACTGACTGTAGGGCAGTACTTTTCGTGATATTACTTTTTAGTAATTGAGCTACCTCATTTAGATTCAAATATTTTGCGTCACATCAATAAAATACAGGTATCTGGCGTATAAAATTTATTCAACTGCCCTCCTCGTCTCTCTTGCCCTGTTACACGCATAATTTATATTTACCGAAACTTAACTCTCTGGAATTCTGTAATTGCCAGAAGACGTACGTTGTCTCGAGCTGTTTCCTGCATCAGACGAGTACCACCTTTCCCTGCTGTAGGAGAGAATGAAACGCGACTGACAAAGGGAACCTGCTTGTCACTCATCGAGGATTCGTAAGAATTTAAATATGACCTTTAATAGCGACGAATATGCTACTTATAGCAGAGATGCCTCTACCCTGCAGAATTCGACATGCCGCGACGAAGGGGAAAAATTCGAGAGTTATAACGGCTTTTTGCCAAGTGTTGCACTACTGTTAACATGAACTAGAAATATCTGCGAAGGCCTAATTGTACGGGAACTAGGAGCTGGGTTCCCCTGGATAATAAATATTCCCATAGTCGTCTATGAACATGTTTGTAAAATCAGACGTCAAATTACTTTGCCAGCGGCGGAGACAGAGAAAGGAGAACAGTTAAGAAGAGAGGCGACCTTTGTTCGTGAGGCACCTACACTGAGGACAATATCTAAGTCAGGTGATATCTAAGGCGAGAATTGTTTCGATGAATAATGGTTAATTGTCCGGTCAGCAAACGGCAACCGTAGTACATAGAACACAGTATTCAGTCTTTCCTATTTAAGTTCAATAGACGAAACGGAAACGGAACTCAATCCTGCATTACCAAGGTTTCAGATTTCAAGGAGAAGTCTTCCTCCAAGTCAGTGGTTGCAAGTACGATGCATATCCAAAGAAGAGAACTTAGTTCGGAAGCCGTTCTTTCTCACAACCGTCATTTTGTTTATCACCAGAACAAGCACTTTAACTACACCCCCCGAAAAGGAGAATATGCATCATGTATGAAATGCTGATATGGGTAAAGTCCTTCAAATTTTAAGTTTCTTCATATGATGAACAATTGCTGTAGGGGAAATGCTCTTTCCTACACATACCTCGGCAGAAAGACGATTTACCAGTCCGGGGCTAAAAGCTGAGCCCTTTCGGTTCTGAGTTCAATGCAGTACGAACTGAGCAACCGCGCTTTTCTCATATGAACAAATGAGTGAGCATTTTTTGGCCGTTTACACTGCATTGAGCAGTACCAAACTTTATACCAAGCATAACTAAAATGCGCAAAGGCAACGCATTTGAACTTTCATCATGGAAAGACATGTTGGATCTCTGATCTGAGGTTTTCACAGCGTGAGAATAGGAAGATTTGGACCACCAAAAGTTAGACGCAAGCCGCTAAAACTTAGTTAACCTTCTTTCTTCGATGAGCATGAAAACGAAGACTGTGCATTTGATCACGTTACTTGTGAAACAGCGAATTTTTGTGACAATGACGGTCAGGACAATGCTATGACAACCAGGATGGGAAGGATGTGGATAATAGCGATGAGATATATTCAGAAGAAATGACAAGATGGTTAACTATGAAGACGATCATCGTGACGAATACGATGTAAAATATAATTTTAAAACTACATTTCTGATGGGAGTATACGGTACTGGAGGATCATACTGGGAAATACAAGGATCTGAAAACAACTAGTCCATGAATATCATGCATAAACGAGCAAACTGATTAAGAATTGTGCATCTCATGGTATGCACTCTTGCTGAACGGTTTGTGGCACTCTACTAGAATGAGAATGAGTGGATTCGTCTGTCACGAATGACGGATTCCGTAGCTGGCACTTTGTACACAGCACCTACTACTTCGTCCAAGAAGGAGGGATATCCTACGTCTGAATTTTGCTCATTGAATACAGCTAAGACTTTTGGCTGTTGCAACTTCAGCAGGAGGATTGCCGATATTCCGCGGACAGACTTCCATTCAACGACTCTGTCATCCAGCATCGATTCTACTAGAATCCCAACACTGGCATGAATGTAGGTCATAAAGTTGACACCAGTGTAGAAGAGCTTCAACTCACACAAGTTCAGAATGGCAGAGTCCAGTGTTTTGTTGTCGAGTAGTAGCCATTAGGTACTTTAGTCATTGGTACCTGATCAACTAGCTAGCTCCTGCTCTTTGCCTCTGAGTTAGAACATGTTCCAATTTCTAGCTGTGAGTTCCCACGGTCGATATGGCTCCCGTGGAACCTGTCTGCCTACTCTGTTGAGAAAAAGATGGAGATACCATTGTTATTCTGTAACTTCGTCATCGTCACGTAGATCTTCTGCAGCGGTCGCTGTGATGCAACACCTCAGAATGCCCGATGAGGTGAAGCAGACTGATTATCCGATTTATTGTATTCTCGCGCATAAAACCTGGTCGGTCCCCGGCAACCCGGCCGATGACCGAGCATGCACAACGTTCGATAAGCTTGCCGTCAACTCTGGCTAAGGTTCACGGCAAAATTCGCCACTGTACCCAACACTAATCCCTATTCATCTCGGCATAGAGTTAGCAACCGTGGAGTTATCTTGAGGCTGCATTCATTTATCAAATGTCCCTCATGCTGAAAAACAGGCCTCAGTCAATGACCTACTATTAATGGATATAGGGAAGTAGGTAAGAATAGCATGCTGTTTGAGTCCTTGGCGCATTTCGTTCAAATTCAATTAAGGTTGCAATCGTAAATAAGTAAACAAAAGCAAAATACCTTTCGTATTATCCATTTCGTATCTTCTATTAATCAGGTGAAATGAAAAGTAAATTGTACCGAAATTGCGCCCAATTGAATTTTTGTCTGACTGTTCTCCAACGGCCTTTT